ACTGTCTGTGGCCTGGGCTATGTGTAATGCATGTAAGTTCTTGGATTAATCTCTCCCCACCCACTCCCCACCCCTGCCTTCCCACTGAGATTCACCAGTTTGTTCCATGCTTCTATGTCTCTGGATCTATTTTGTTCCTCAGACTGTTTTATTTATTAGATTCCACATGTGAGTGAGATCATATAAAACTGAATCAGGAAGAATCAGAAAACCTGAATAGGCCAATAACAACTGATGAAATCGAAGCAACAATAAAAAAATCTCCCAGCAAACAAAAGCCCTGGTCCAGAAGGCTTCTCACGGGAGCTTTCTAATTCTTTAAGTTGTAGGGTCAGATAGTTTACTAAAAATGTGTCTTGTTTTTTGAGGGAGGCCTGCAGTGTTATGAACTTTCCTCTCAGGACTGCTTTTGCTGTGTCCCATAGATTTTGGGTTGTTGTGTGTTCATTTTCATTTGTTTCTGGGAACTTTCTGATTTCTTCCTTGATCTCATTGGTAATCCATTTATTGTTTAATGACATGCTATTTAGCCTCCATATGTTTGAATGTTTTTGAGTGTTTTTACGGTAGTTGGTTTCTAATTTCATGCCATTGTGATCTGAGAATATGCTAGATACAATTAACATGTGGTCTATCTTTGAGAATGACCCATGTGCACTTGAGAGGAATGTATATTCAGCAGCTTTGGGGTGAAATGTTCTGTAAATGTCAATTAAATCCCTCTGATCTAGTGTGCCTTCAGTTTGAAGTCTGTTTCGTCTGATATGAGTATTGCTACCCTGGCTTTTTCTTTCATTTCCATTTACATGGAAAATTTTTTTCCATCCCTTCACTTTCATCCTCTGTGAGTCTTTTGTTCTGAGGTGGGTCTCTTGTAGACAGCATATATTTGGATCATGTTTTCTTATCCATTTAGTTAACATATCTTTTGATTGGAGCATTTAATCCATTTATATTCAAGGTTATTATTGATAGGTACTTATCTATTGCCACTTTAATTCTTTATGCCTATGTTTCTCTATTTCTACTTCCAATTATAGCAGTCCCTTTAACATTTCCTGCAATGCTGGTTTGGTGGTGATAAACTCCTTTAGCTTTTTTTTTTTGTCTGGAAACCTCTTTATTTCACCATCTATTTTGAATGATAGCCTTGCTGGATAGAGTAGTCTTGTTTTCAGATCCTTGCTTTCCATTACCTTGAATACTTCATGCCATTCTCTTCTGGCCTGTAGAGTTTCTGATGAGAAGTCAGCTGACAGCCTTATGGGAGCTCCTTTGTAGGTAACAGATTGCTTTTCTTTAGCTTCCTTTAAGGTTCTCTCTTTGACTTGAATTTTGGGCATTTTTATTATGATGTGTCTGGCCGTGGGCCTCTTTGGGTTCTTCTTGCTTGGGACTCTCTGTGCCTCTTGAACTTGTGTGACTTTTTCCTTCTCCAGGTTAGGGAAGTTTTTTTCCATCATTTCGTCAAAGAGGTTCTCTAACCCTTGCTTACTTTCGACCTCTTCTGGCACTCCTATGATGAGAATATTGTTACATTTCATATTGTCCCACAGGTTCCTTAGACTGCCCTTTTTTTAAGTTGTTTTTTGTTTTTGGGTCTCTGAGTGATTTTTTTCTACCCTGTTTTCTAATTCACTGATCCAGTACTCAGCTTCCTCTAATCTGCTGTTTATTCTTCCAATGTATTCTTATTTCTGCTATGTCATTCTTCATTTCCTTCACAGTTTCCATATCTTTTTTCATGCTATTGAGCATCCTTACAATCAATATTCTGAACTCTATCTGTGGTAGATTGCTTATCTCCATTTCGTTTGGCTCTTTTTCTGGGGACTTCTCTTGTTCTTTCAGTTAGGGCTTGTTTTTTTGTCTTCCCATTTTGCCCACCTATTTGGGTTTGTTTCCATGTATTAGGTAGGTCTGCTAGGACTCTCAGTCTTTTTGGAAGGTCTCTGATGCAGGCCAATGTCAGATGCTGTTTGTGACTGGCCCTGAGTACTCTGTTTGGAGCTATCAACAACTCACTGCTTGAGATCCCCTCTGCTCGGATCGGGTGTGTTTGGGCAGGAACAAGATGCTCACCAAAGTCTGCTTTTCCAAGGCTTCCGTCCAGAAGCAGATCAGGCAAAGACTCAAAGCACTCTAAGGTCTGCCTTTGCCTGCAGACTGATTAATCTGATTCTCTTAAGGAGCCTCAGGCTATAGAAACTCCACAGGGTGGGGTGGCTGATTGTTATCAATCTCTCTCTCTTTTTTTCTTTCTATCTTTTAATTTCCAATGCATACTCATTCACATTTGACTTATGTACATAAACATCCTTTTATGATAGTCCAGGACATCTGTTATCCTGATTATAGCAAAACAGATGCAAAATAATGTTAATACTTTCTTGCCTGAAATGGCAAAACTAAGTGTGTGTGCATATATTGTTTAAATCCCTTTTTTCCCCACTCCATGCTTTTGACTGGAATTTATTCATATCTACCCCTGTTTTGTTCCACTTTCTTGTGAAATGCATCACTATCTAATTACCCAGGCCAAATCTTTTCTTTCATCATACCCCACCTCTAGTTACCAAGTGCTAATAAGACATCTTCCTAAATTTCTCTGGAATTGATCTCTTCTCCGCTAGAGTTCCCTTTTGCAAGCCCATTTCTTCATAAGTCTGACATGTGAGATTTTAATTGCTGTACTGCAGTTTTCTCTTTTTCTGTCTGTGTGACAGCTCCAGTTCTGTTTGCTTTTGTAATTCTTGTATCACGGTTATAGTCTTATTGAAAGTAGCACAAATGCAGCTCTTAGTCTCTTTCTGCTCGTCAGCAGTTGACTTAAAGCATGAATGCAAAGTTTGATCCCGAGACTTTATTGCTGACAATTCCTGTGAGCGTGTAACTGGGTTTTTCTTGCCTGCTGAGTCAGGATGGTTAGTTTTGATTGCACATTCCAGTCTGTATCAAGTGTGATCAGATCAGTCAGCTTTCTTGAACATCAGTGAGCCCCAGGCTGTAGAAGCTCCTCTGGGTGGGGCCAGAGGTTTTCCCACAGGGTGGGGCAGTTGCTTCCCCCTCTGGCAAAAGCTGCTTGGAAGGTAAAAGTCTTCTAGAGAAAGATGTCCTCTGCAGTCTGGGGGGAATGACTCAGCACAGGAGTCCAGATGACTCCCCTCTGAGCTCTATCTCCAGATCCCAAAACCCTAGGTTCTCCTCACACAGCTCCAGTCCACTCTGCCCCTCCTCTGCTGGTGCCCAAGATGAGAGGCTCCACACAAAACTTTGTGTGTTGGCTCTTTAAGAGGGGGCCTGCAGTTCCAGAGGCCTCTCCCTGGCAGACAGAAACCCTGCTGCTTTTCACAGCCAGATGTTATGTGGGCACCTGCCTGAGGTCTGGTGCTCTGGGCTGGGAAACCCCGCCAGGGATTTAGGCCTCAGAATCCTCAGTGGGACCCCCCACAACTGAGCTATCCCTCGGGACCTTCAGCTGCTGCCTGTGGGAGCCCAGCCAGCCCTCTCACGTCCTCACTTCCTACCAGTCTCTATGCGGCGTCCCCTTTTCCTCCTTAGTTACGAGGGTGTCTCTAGCTCGTCTTCAGTTGCAATTGATTATTCAGGGTGGTTTTTCTCCAGTTTAGTTGTCATTCCAGTTTGGTCCTGGGAGAGTGTTGGTGTAGCTTCCACTCAGCCCACTGCCATCTTTAATCTCTGAATTTCTTTTTATTAGACAAATTTTGGTAGGTTGCCATTTGCTAAACCCATCCCAAAGTTGAGAGGTGTAGAAATTGGCTCAGGCACTCCCTCAGCCCCTGGTAGGTACAGAGGTTTTGTCTGATTGTGCGCATCAAGACAAGTACAAGGACAGGGGGCGCTGGTATCTTTATTTTGCTTTCAAAAGTGTATAAGAAAGTTGTTAAAGGTCTTTTCATTACAGAGTTTTATTTTCTTGGAAATGTACACTTTGTAGTGCTTCAAAAAATATTTTTTGCATAGAATCTGATTAAAATTTCATATACTCTATCACATAATAATTGTTATAAAGTATGTTCAATTTATAAATCAAAGAGAAGACAGTCATTTGGAAAGCCCCATCTAATTAAATCATTTTTAAAGTAGTTTGGCTTCTAATTTTGTTTTCTCTTGTGGCAGATCTTTTATATAATATAGTCTCTGATTTATATTGACTTTCAAAATGTTTCCATTTTTCTTAGGAAAACAGGAAATCATTTTCACAACTTCATTTGTTGGCAAGACCTAAGAGCTACTGAACTTGTGAAATCTTGGAATAGTTCTCTTATAATGAAGGTACTTTTTTTCTTGTCTGCAATTTGGTTACTACTGTTTTTCTGTAAATGTCCCTTCACTGTAGACATAATTGTATAATCCCCTACCTGTGCTGCTTTTGGACATTAGTAAGAGCATATGCACATGCAGGCTCCCACACTGGGAAAATGTAATAATAGTTACCCCAAAGGGTATGTGGTCAACTGAAGCACTTAATAGTGCACTTCCAGAAGTCTTGAGGAGTCTGGGTGGACCTGGGGTTCCATGTTAGTGAGAAGTCATGTTTCCATTCCTGGAGAAATGGAAAAAATACAGACTATGTCCAGAAAGGATATAGCAATGTCCAAATTTCCTCATCTTTTGTTTTGCTGAAGACTGTGTAGAAAGATAGTTAACCTGCCGACTGGCACAAATAAGCAAGTGGTGGTGGCGACAGGCAGCAGCCCCCACTCTCACTCCCGGGCCCTGGAGGCGACAGGCAGCAGCCCCCACTCTCACTCCCGGGCCCTGGAGGTGACAGGCGGCAGCCCCCCACTCTCACTCCCGGGCCCTGGAGGCGACAGGCAGCAGCCCCCCACCATCTCACTCCCGGGCCCTGGAGGCGACAGGCGGCAGCCCCCCACCATCTCACTCCCGGGCCCTGGAGGTGACAGGCAGCAGCCCCCCACCACCTCACTCCCGGGCCCTGGAGGTGACAGGCAGCAGCCCCCCACCATCTCACTCCCGGGCCCTGGAGGTGACAGGCGGCAGCCCCCCACCATCTCACTCCCGGGCCCTGGAGGTGACAGGCGGCAGCCCCCACTCTCACTCCCGGGCCCTGGAGGCGACAGGCAGCAGCCCCCCACTCTCACTCCCGGGCCCTGCTCCGCAGCTGTGGTGAGACCCGCAGAATTTGGTGTGATAGGATCGCATATTGATAATTTTAATACTTCTAATTCCACCCAGTTAAATGTCTTCCCAGCTAGGGTGCCACACCAGACAGCTTTACTTGCTTAGGATTTGGAGACTTTAATTTTATATAAAACGAAACATGAATACATTATAGAAAACTGCAGCAATGCATGAGTGAGACACTTGCCATGATCTCACATATTGATCTTTCTGTTAGTTTCACAAACAAAAGTGCACCTTGCTCCTTGCTGTGATAACTTGCGAGGCTGAATACCGAGAGGTGCCGTGTACAGGAAAGACAGTAATTAAGGGAGTGGAAAGTGGTTGTAAGAAGTCATGAATCCTGAGTGGGACAATTTTAAATTATACTGTTTATAATGTGTAATTTTATATCTTAATGTATTACTTTAGTTTTTAACAGGTCAGCCTGTCGATTGTCCCTAAGCATGACTGACTCCTTCAGTCAGCCAGTGAGATGTTCAGAACTTCTTTTGCTTTAAAAATAAATTGTGACCACAAGAAACATTTACTTCTATAGTATTAGCCCAAATTTCAAATCATGACACAATATTGTGACTTTAAGCGCAAAACTGAGTCTTTAAAGTCTTAAAATTTCATATCTCTGGGATAAATACCCCAACACAATTGCTAGGTCATATATAAGAAATTGCCAAGTATTTTTCCAAGTAGCCACATCATTTACGTTCCCACCAGCAGTACGTGACTTATAACATATACATTTTTTTTTTATTTTAACACCTTTGACATCAGGATGCATTTTGAACTGTTAATTATTATTATTATTATTATTATTATTTTTAAATATATCTTTATGGATTTCAGAGAAAGGAAAAGAGAGGGAGAGAGAGAAACAGAAACATCAATGATGAGTCATTGATCGAGCCTGCAACTGGGCATGTGCCCATTAATTATTTCTTAATACTTTGTCATAATTTAACTGGCAGGATTTTTTCTTTTTTGGTGGTACATCAAACAGCGATTCCTTTTACAGCCAGTGTCATCTTAGATGAGCTCATTTGTTGATTTGATTACTTGCCTCTCCCACTGGAAGGCACATTTAAGAAAGGCAGCGATCCTGCTTGTGTCACTCTCTCTGCCTCCCGGGGCCTATCCCAGTCCTTGGCACATGGCGGGAACTCAAGAAGTACTGGTAGGTGAGCAGAGTGCTCGTGGTTCCGTGTGGGCTGAACGACCAGGGCTGGAACTCCCGATATGTTTTGTGTAAGGCCCCTCCCCGGGCATCTAAATTTTAACGGAAGATCCCTGAAGGCCCCAAAACCTTATTTTTGTTTTTTGTTTTGTTTTTTAATCCTCACTCAAAGAACGAGGGTATTTTTTCCACTAGATTTTTAGGGAGAGTGGAAGGGAGGGGGAGGGGGAGAGGGGAAGACAGAGAAGAGAGAAACATCGATGCGAAACATTGATTGGTGCCTCCCACACACACCCTGGTCGGGGTGGGGCTAGGATCTACAGCCCAGGCTCATGCCCTTGACTGGGAATAGAACCTGTGACCCTCCAGTGTGCAGGCCAGTGCTCCAGCCACTGAGCCATACTGGCCAGGGCTAAGCCTCATTTTTTATAGAGAAAAGCACAGTGTGCTTCTGGAGGAAGAGCCTTTTCATCTGAGGCATTGTCAACATATAACAAGTCAGAAGGGGCATGGGTGGCCAGCCGCTTTAAATCCTTTAAAAGTCTTGTATTTAAATAAATAATGTAAAATATAAAGACATGCAGGAGGTCTGAGCACTGAGCAAGAGAAAAGAAGTTAAAAGGGTACAACCTTTCCGTTATAAGATGAATGAGGTCTGAGGATCTAAAGTATAGCATGACTGTAGTTGATAGCACTGTGCTGTGCAATTGAAATTTGCTGAGAGTAGAACTTTAAATAGTCTCACCAAAAAAAAAATGTTAAAAAAGTTAAACTGAGGCTCATTGTTGAAAATAAAAGGACAGACTGAAACGTAAAGAGGACCACGCCTGCATGTTTCAATTAATGTACTGTGCTAAAAATGAAGGGGATTCATGTTACTATCTTTAATAAGTAAACCAAAATCTTTCCATTCATTTTCGGGAGAAGGGTGGGAAATGACAGAAAAATGCAAAAAGTGGGTAAATTCTCCGTAAGTGACTGTTTTGTTAAATACCAGTTTCAGAAGCTGAACTGTCCATCTGAGTTCTTGCTGTAGGTAGCAGGATAAGGCTTGTTTCTTTCTTTCTTTCTTTCTTTTTTTTAGTATGTGTTACAAATTTTAAAACGTGGAGCTTATTTTCTGTTTAATGCTTTTTTTTTAAATTAAAGATTTTTCTTATTAAGAGTAAATTTAACTTCTTTTCCAATTCGAAACCTTTTATTTCTTCTTCCTGTCTGATCACTATGCTAGGACTTCCAGGACTATGTTGACCATGAGTGGTGAGAGTGGGCACCCCTGTCATTTCCCGATCTTGAGGGGGATACTTGTAGTTTTTGCCCACTGAATATGATGTGGGCTGTGGGTTTGTCATATGTGGCCTTTATTGAGGTATATTCCCTTTGTTCCTACTTTGCTGAGGGTTTTTACCATAAATGGGTGCTGGATTTTATCAAATGCCTTTTCTGCATCTACTGGTAGGATCATGTGGTTTTTATACTTCATTTTGTCTGTGTGGTGTATCACATTTATTGATCTGTGGATGTTGTACCAACCTTGCAGCCCCGGAATAAGTCCCACTTGGTCATGGTGTATGATCTTTTTAATGTATTGCTGGATTTTGTTTGCTAATATTTTGTTGAGGATTTTAGCATCTGTGTTCATCAGGGACATTGGCCTATCATTTTCTTTCTTTGTCATGTTTTTATCTGGTTTTGGAATTAGGAGAATCCTGGCCTCTTCCTTCCTCATTAATTTTTTTGAATAGTGTGAGAAGGACAGGTGTTAGTTCTTCTTTGAATATTTGGTAATATTCAGCTGTAAAGCTATCAGGTGCAGGGCTTTTGTTTGTTGGGAGATTTTTTATTTCACTAGTTGTAATCTGTGTATTCAGATTCTCTGATTCTTTCTGATTTAGTTTTGGAAGGTTGTGTTTCTAGGAATTTATCCATTTCTTCCAGATTGTCTGATTTGTTGGCATATAGTTGCTTATAATATTTTCTTAAAATCATCTGTACCTCTTAGGTGTCAGTTGTTACTTCTCTTTAATTTCTGATTTTATTTATTTGAGTTGCCTCTCTTTTCTTCATGAATCTGCTTAAATGTTTGTCAATCTTGTTTATCTTTTCAAAGAGCCAGCTGTTGGTTTCATTGATCTTTTGTATTGTTATTTAGACTCTATTTCATTTATTTCCTTCCTTCTACTTACTCTGGGCTTTGTTTATTGTTCTTTTTTGATTGTTTATTTATCTTGTTTCTGGAGATAGGTCTGTAATGGTATGAATTTCCCTCTTAGGACTGCTTTTCCTGTGCCCCAGAGATTTTGGGTTGTGTTCTCATTTTCATTTGTTTCAAAGTGTCTTTTGATTTATTCCTTGATTTCATCGTTAACCCATTCACTGTTTAGTAATATGTTATTTAGCATCCACGTCTTTGTGTGTTTTTCAGTTTTCCTCTTGTGATTGATTTAAGTTTCATAGCATTAAGGTCAGAGAAGATGCTTGATATGATTTCAATCTTCTTAAATTTATTGAGACTTGTTTTGTGTCCTAGCATATAGTCTATCCTTGAAGACTTTCTATGTGCACTTGAAAAGAATGTATATTCTGCTGCCTTGGGGTGGAATGCTCTGGCGATATTAATTAAATTCATTTGATCTAGTGTATTTTTAATGCCTCCATTTCCTTACTGATTTTCTGTCTGGAAGATCTATCCATTGATGTCACCCCAAATGAGGTGGTAAAATCCAACTGGATTAATGTCAGTGTCTCCCTTTATGTCCATTAAGATTTGCTTTCCATATTTAGGTGCTTCTATGATGGGTGCATAAGTATTTACAAGTTATACCCTCCTGTTGGATTGCTCCTATTATCATTATGTAGTGTCCTTTGTCTCTTACAATAGCCTTGGTTTTAAAGTATATTTTGTCAGATATAACTATTGCTACCACAGCTTTTATTCCACTTTCTAGTTGCATGAAATATCTTTTTCTATCCATTTACTTTTATTCTGTGTGTATCTTTCTTTCTGAGATGTGACTCCTGAAGGAAGCATACACATGGGTCTCTTTTCCTTCTCCATTCAGCTACCTTATGTCTTTTGATTTGGAGCATTTAAACCATTGGCATTTAAAGTGATTATTGGTAGGTACATATTTATGGCCATTTTATTTTTTAATCATGTTCCTATGTGTTTTTTCTTTTTTGGTGTTTTTTTTTCTGACTTCTTAAAGCGGGCCCTTTAACATTTTTTGCAATGCTGGTTTGGTGGTAACAAACTCCTTTAGCTTTTTCTTGCCTGGGAAGCTCTTTATTTCTCCTTCAACTTTAAATGATAGCCTTACTGGGTGGAGTAGTGCTGGTTGTAGGTCCTTGGTTTTTATCACTTTGAATATTTCATGCAGTCCCTTCTGTCCTAAAATGTTGAGAAGTCAGGTGACAGTTTTATTGGAGCTCCCTTGTAGGTAACTGCCTTTCTCTTGTGTTTTTTTTAAGATTCTTTGTCTTTAACTTTTGGAATTTTAATTATGGTATGTCTTGGTGTGGGCCTCTTTGGGTGGAGTTGGGGGTTAGAGAGATTAGAGCAAAAAAGAAAAAAAGAGAGAACTCATGGACAACAGTGTGGTGATTGGGGGTGTGGAGGTGGAAGAGGGCATAGAGTAGTAGATAAATGGTGATAGGAAAAATTAAATTAAATTTAAAAAATAAAATGAACAAAACCCAACAAGAAATAGCACATATATACATAAAAAAAGAGTAAATTTAACCCTAGCCAGTTTGGCTCAGTGATTAGAGCATTGGCTCATGGATTGAAGGGTCCTGGGTTCTATTCCAGCCAAGGGCATGTACCTCTGTTGCAGGGTCGATCCCCTGGCCCTGGTTGGGGTGTGTGTGGGAGGCAACCAGTTAATGTGTCTCTTTCACATCAGTGTTTCTCTCTCTCTTGCCCCCATTCCATTCTCCCTGAAAAGCAGGTGAGGATTAAAAAAAGAAGAGTAAATTTTAAATTGTATGTTTCATTTTTAATCATTAGGTAAGTATAGGTAGTATGAAAATCAGACATCCCAATTTTAAGTACTTAATGTGTAGAGAGAATTCCTTCTGAGTTTATACTGAACTGATTAAATATATTATTAAAAATAATAGCACTAACCTGGCCAGGTGTAGCTCAGTAGTTGAGCATCGACCTAGTATCCAGGAGATCATGGTTTGATTCCTGGTCAGAGCACATGCCCGGATTGTGGGCTCAATCCCCAGTCAAGGGTGTGCAGGAGGCAGTTGATCAATGATGACTCTCTCATCATTGATGCTTCTATCTCTCTCTCTGCCTCTTTCTTCCTCTCTCTAAAATCAATAAAGATATATATATATATAAATAATAATAGTACTGTATTATTAAAATAATAAAATCTATTATTAAAAAATAGCAGTATAGCTTTCTCCCTTGACTCTGTCCCCTCATTTCCATAGTTAAAAATAGGTAAAGAGGTAGAAAGTAGGTATTAAGTCCTAAGAACACTCTTTAAGTAGTTAAATAACTTTTTTATTATTGGGTTTGTTTGCATGGATATGGAATTAATACAGAAACATCAAACACCATTATTAAATGTATTTTTCTATTTTTTTAAAAAAATAGCTAATACACAGTTCCTGCCGAATGCTTCACTTTTTCACTAGAAGTAAACGATTTTTAGCAGCCAGTTTGCTCACTTTCACAACCCAGCATGTTTCTTTGAGATTGGCCTGGATTTTACAGAACCTGGTTGAGGTAAGTAAAGAGAGAGAGAGAGAGAGAGTGTGTGTGTGTGTGTGTGTGTGTGTGTGCGTGCACATGCATGCACTATGCATGCATGGAGACTTTGGGTAAATTCATGGAATAAGGATAGTAATGTGATTATTTGACGGAAAATTAAGTATCCACAACATATTGGGATGGAAGACAAGGAACCTTTATTCAGTTTATTTTTTAAAACCTTTTTATTGTGAGTCATAGCACATATAGAAAAGTGAGCAAAACAGAAATATACCTTTTGGTGACATACTGTGGAGCATACATCTGTGTAACGCCACTTGTATGAAGAACTAGAACACTGTAATTCTGTGTATTACGTTTTCTTTCCACTTTTACAGTTTATCTTTTCCTCATCACTATAGTTTTGCTTGAATATTTTTTAAAATATGTTTTTATTGACTTCAGAGACAGGAAAGGAGAGAGAGAAACATCAATGATGAGAGAGAGTCATTGATCAGATGCCTCTTACACGCCCCCTACTGGGGATGGAGCCTACAACCCAGGCATGTGCCCTGACCGGGAATCGAACCATGATTTCCTGGATCATAGGTTGACACTCAACCGCTAAGCCATGCCAGCTGGGCTGCCTGAACATTTTTGAATTTTGTATAAAAGGAATCATACAGTGTTTATTCTTTTGTATTTGACTCCTTTTGCTGAACATTATATGTGTGAAATATATATATGTTGTATGTAAACTAATTTCCTTATATTTTTATTGCTATTTAGTGTACAGTATGTGATTTTACCATAATTTATCCATTCTATTCATGTACATTTGAGTTATATCTGGTTTGGGCCTATAATGAATAATGCTGTCTCTTGATGTACATGTAAATGTGTTCCTGCTGTATCTACATATAGGAATGGAATTTTAGGGCATGAATATGTATATATATATCTATATATCTATATATATCTTCATTTTTAGTGAATAATGTCAAACACTTTTCTAAAGTTTTTGACAATTTGCACACCCATCATCAGTGAGTGAGAAGAGTTTTTATTTTACTTACCTCCTTTACATTATCAGTCTTTTCTGGTATCTGGTATCTCATTGTGTTTTTATACCAGACTATAAAAAACAAGATCCTACTATATACAGGGGACAACATTTCTTTAGATTCACAAATACGAATTGGTTAAAAATAAATGGGATCCCAAGATGACTGTACAGTAGGTGGCTACACTCACCTCCTCCCAGCACCAAGCCAGATTTAAAACTAAATTATAGATTAATCAACCTGAAAAACCAACTGAAGGCTAGTTGAACAGAAGTCTTATAACCAAGCATCTACTGAAGGAGCCACATTGAGACTGGTAAGAAGGGCAGAGATGATGAAAGAGCTGGCCCCCTACCCATGTGTGGCTGTTGAGAGTCTGAAGGGATATGTCAGCAGCAGAGGTCCCTCTGAGGAGTGAGGAGTTTTGACCCCACATCAGGATCACCAACCCAGAGCACCAGAGTCAGGAAAAGGCATCTGGTGGTGAAAATCAGTGGGGATTCTGCCTGCCTGGGAGAGATGGGCGTCTGCTAGAAACCCAGGCACTCTCTTAAAGGGCCAGTACACAGGGTTTTTTTCTCAAACACTCACCTGGACCCCAGTAGAGGAAAGGTGACTCAGGGCATACAGTAGTCATAAAGAGAAGATCTGGGTGGCATGGCTTCGAGGAGTGATCTGGAGGGTCAGCTACCAGAGGTCTCTCTGCTGAGTTCCTATCCCATACCTCCCTCAGATGCCATCTTCCCAAGGTAGAGCACTCCTATCCTTATAGCACCAGCGTGGGGAGTGCACTAGTCCAGTTCTCCAACTACTGGTGGTACCACTCTGCCAAGCTTAAGTGCTGCAGAAACATCTGCTGGCTGCACTCAGGTGCATACCTTACTTGAGAAGCTCATGGCAGAGACTCAGACAGCGATCTTTGTAACTCCAGAGGAGGGGCCATTCATCTCCACCAGCATGCTGTTGACATCCCTACCTCAAAGGGAGACCCACTTGCCCTGTCCTGACTCTCAGTGGCCCCGCTCTGCTGAGCTTGAGTCTTGCAGAGGGGCCACCTGGCCACACCCAACCTGAACCAGCGGTGCACTCTTTTTGAGGGAGCTAGTGTCAGAGTCTTGGGCAAAGGCTGAATGGTATGGCTCTGGAGTAGGGGACATTTTCCCCTCACTGAGTGCCTGACTGTGCTCTCCCCAAGCAGAAGAACCACTAGCCCTATCCACTTGACTTCACCCCACCCTATCAAGCTCACACCTATGGAAGAGGAAGCCAACCTCACAACTTCGCCCCTCCCATGCACACCATGCTCAGTAGAGGCAGCCACTAACAATGGATTTGGTAGCTCCAGACAGGTAGCCCAAAGCCAGTTGCAGGCAGCATATGACATCAACCAGCACTGGAACCCCTCCCAAGTGGACCCAGAACCAACACAACCAGTGGTGAACTTCAGACCACACAAGTGGCACACCCAAAGGCAGATCCTGGCAGGTACCAGACCCTGCTGGGGACAACTGCACCTTGAGGAGCAGCCCCCACACAGAGGTTCATACTGTATGGTCAGAGTCAATCCTAATAGACAACCTGAGGGTTAATACCACTCATAAATGGACCAACAGCATTTAAGACTCAACTACAATAGAAAGGCTCATATAAGCCACACAAGAGACATTCCTGGAGCACCTAGCTCAGGTGATCTGGAAGATAGTGTACTGAGCCCACAAGACACCTACAACAAAAACCACCATAACAAGTTTGGAAGTCATAGCAAATCTAACTAATACACAGAGACAAACACAAAAAGGTAGACAAAATGGGGAGACAAAGAGACATACCCCAAATCAAAGAACAAGGGAAAGCCCCTGAAAAAGAATTAAATGAAATGGAAGCAACCAAGATACCAGATGCAGAGTTCAAAACAAGGATTATAAGAATGATCAGGTAACTTAGGGGAAGAATGGGTGATCTCAGTGAGAACTTAAAGAGATAGTAAGCATTAAATAAGACATAGAAACCATAAAAAGAACCAGTCAGAAATGAAGAACACAATATCTGAAATAAAGAACACACTAGAAAGTATCAACAGCAGGTTAGATGAAACAGAGGATCTAATCAGTGATTTAGAGGATAAGATAACAGAAAACACCCAAGCAGAGCCACAAAAAGAAAAAAGAATAAAAAAAGAAAATGGAAAAATCTAAGAGACCTCTGGGACAACATCGAGTGTAACAACATGTGCATCATAAGGGTACCAGAAGGAGAAGAGAGCGAGCAAGGGATCAAGAACCTATTTGAAGATATAATGGCTGAAAACTTCCCTAAGCTGGTGAAGGAAAAAGACTCACCTGTCCAGCACAGAGAGGCTCAATCAAGATGCACCCAAGACACATCATAATTAAAATGGTAAAGATTAAAGACACAAAGGGAATCTTAACAGGAGCAAGAGACAGATAGTTACCTATAAGGGAGCTCTCCCATAAGGCTGTCAGATGATTTTTCAACATAAACACTTTAAACCAGAAGTGATTGGCATGAAATATTCAAAGTGAAAACCAATGAAAAGCAAGGACCTGCAACTAAGATTACCCAGGAAGGCTCTCATTTAAAATTAAAGAGCTTCCCAGCCC